AACTCCCTCCCCTCTGGGACACCAGCGCTGTTCCCTCTTGAAACTTTTCCTTTTCAAAATCGACTTGGCACCCTAAACAGATTGTTTTAGGTTCATTTTTGATTCAAAAAAATAATAACATTTTATCCACCTTTCTTTTCCTGATATTGATCATAATCTTAATATATACAACACTTAGTGAATGTCCAGGGAAAATAGGAAAGGTGGTGGTAGGGAGAACAGAGGGAAAGGAGGAAAGAAGAAATGCGTGGAACCAGACAGGGAGGTGACAGCAGCCAGCAGGGCCAAACTCGATGGATTCCGAGTGTCACTATGATGAAGGGAAGAGGTTGAGAGAAGTAAAAAATGACCATGAAATACATCTGAATCTGAGTTTGTATTGTCTTAGGCCTGGAGAGTCTAGAATCTTAGGCGGCTTCCTCTACAACTGTGAATCAGGGTGCATGCCTTCCTTCCCATGCACTTTAACCTATAGAAGAAAACTTGAGCCTGGGGAGATGCCTCAGCAAAGTACGCACCACGTAAAGGTGGAAGGAAAGGTCTGACTCCACAATAATAGCACATAAAATCAATTCAAGATTTTTGAAAAGGAAGCGTGGCTTGTGCAGAAGGTGCTGAGAGCAAAGACAAGATGTACTGACTCGAGGCTCTATGCCTGGCTGGCCCTGTGCCCGAGTGTGCTACCTGGTCCCCCAATCTCAATGCCCTCATATAGAAAACCAAGCTAATCACATCCACTTCAGGAGCTCTAAGACAGTGAGATAACTAAAGTGAAAACCTTTGCTGATCCCAAGGGCACTGCACCTGGATGTGATTACTGTCATTACTGTCTTGGCTTTGCCCAGCCTATAGATGATTCAGTCACTATGGGCTGTCTCATTTGCATGCAGAGCAAGGACTAGGTCTTGCTTTGGGTACTAAGAAGTTGGATGAGTTCACACAGACTCATGATTTCCACAGTTTCCTTGGTTTTCCCCCCTGGTCTGCTCTGTCAATCAGCATGTGTTCATAGTAGTCATTAGCCGAGTCTTCATCTCACAGAGTATATAACAGAAAGACCAGTTCTTGGCATCCAGGTCAGTCTGCAGAGAGTCAGCTCCTCCCTCCACCCACTAAGGTAGGACATAGAGCAAGGGAAGAGAGAAGCTGTCCGTTACTTTTAGTTCCAGACATGGCATGCATACAGGAATAAAATGACCAAAATAATCTTTGTCTCTATTTTTAAATTAGTGCTCAGCTCTGACCAGAATGCAAGAGAAGAAAGGCTCACAACTGACTCCTTTTCTTTACATTGTCCAGCAAGTTTTGCCTGTATTCTCATTTTTTTTTCCTTCAGCAGCCTTCCCAAAGGACAAATCCAAGCATCAAGAGACATTTTAACTGGTTTTCTCTCTCTCCGATTTCTTATCTTTTCTCAAATCACTCATACCAACCCAAAAAAAAAGGATGTGAGAGGATTTCAAAAATAATTTCAGAAGCTAGTTTGGAACTGCATTAATCCCAGAGGTCTGGTAGAAAAATCTGTTCTGGCTACTGTTTTCCCCTGGGATTTCTTGTATCTAGCTCTCCCTCATCTTGACTTTTCTTATTTGTAGTTTGTTTTTGTTTCCTTCTGCAAAGCTTTTTGCCTTTCTCCAAGCAGACATTAGGATGTGTGCAGGGTCAGGTAATTGCATGTTAAAGAATATGAAGAAACAGTGCTGATGTCATGGGGTGGAAAGAGACTATTCCAGGATTGGGCAGTAGAGGCGGGGCCATGGAGATGACAGTGCTTCTCTCCTGCAACTGAAGCAGAGTGTGAATTATAGGGGCTGGGGATACGGTTTAGTCAGTAAACTGCCTGGCATTCAAGTCTGAGGACATGAGTTTGGATCCCCAGCACTCATGTAAAAAGCTGGGCATGGATAACACACTGCAATTCCAGAACTGGGAAGGCAGAGATGGGTAGATCTCTGGAGTTCTCTGGCCAGCCAGCATAACCAACTCATTGAGCTCCAGGTTCAGAAGAGACCCTGTCTTAAAAAATAAGATGAAGAGCAATCAAGGAAGATACCCAACATTGACCTCTGGCATACACACACCCACATACACACACACACACACACACACACACACACACACACACACACACACTCCACAAGTATATACATATATCATACACATGCACACCAGAAGTCAATCAATCAATCAATTTAATAAACAAATAGAAAACAGGCTTGAATTCCAGAGCACCTTCTTACAGAAGCTACTCATGGTTCTCAAACATTTTAAGTGTGCAGCTGAGGGGACTGAATTTTATATTGCATTTAATTTTAATTAAAAACATAAACTAAATTCAGTTTCTAGAAAATCAGTATGATTAAAATTACTTGAATATATAAGCCTACTTTTTCAACTGTAAATTTTGTGAATTTTAAGTATATATAAATATAAATTTAAATATAGATGAAAATTTATCATTGGAATTGATGAACTCTGAGAACAAAATATACACTAGAGTTTTAAAGACTTAGTACACATTTTGGATACTTTTGGCTTTAATCAAATATTGGGCTGATGTTATTTGTTTTTGTTTTTAATGTAGCTACTAGAAAATTTAAATGTATGTACTTGTTTATATTTCTATTAGTCTCTACTTTCCTGACAGCAGAGACTGTGTAGGTTCGAATTCCATGTCTTTTTCCTTCCAGCTTCTAAAATGAGATCAGAGACATTCTCCAGTTCTTTAATAAAGAACTGCCCGATCGTGCCTACTGCACAGACTCCATGTGAGATTCGACTGACTTACGTAGGCATGCAATCCACGAGGCATCCCTGACACCTGGCATACTCAACATATGCTATTATTACAGTTGGAAGTTTATATTTATCATGCTATGGGGAGAGCAGGAAACTGCAAGAGACTTTGAAATGTCAGAGAGAATTTTTCACCTTCTTAGGAGAGCCTTACAGCAAATATCCATTTCATTCCATTAGACACTGGACCACAGATGCCTAAGGCCTTGTTCTCAGCAGATGCCTAAGGCCTTGTTCTCATGAAGAGCTACTCCCTATTAGGTCACTGCTTGCTGTTGCTTGAACACCTTCTTACAAATCTCCAAAAGCCACATCTAACAGGTGGATGTCCAGATTTAATTTAGAAAAGCACTCTAGGAAAAAAAAAAAAATGTGGTACCAAGCCAAGAGTGTAATGTGCTCTGCTTCTGCCTGACTTGACTTATCTGATGGGGTTGATTCCCCATCAGTTAAATACAGATAATAGGAGACGGTATTGTGAGGATTTAATAAATAGCATGACAGAGAGAGCTCTATGAACCACACAGAACCATGCCAATGCCAACATGCCCTCCCCTGAGAACCACTGCAGCAGGATGCCTGCCCACGCCCCACGCAGAACATACTGTTACTTCATGGGAGTATCCCTAAGGACCTTCACTCTGCTCTATGTTCCCTGCAAACTTGTCTGTGATTAACCCCCTATAGTGTAAAAACTTCTAAAACTCCTTTAGGAAAAAAAAAAAAAAGCCCAAGATAGGCACTTAAAGGATAAACTAGTAAATCAATAGCAGATGTTCACATGTCAGCTCATTCTGTCCAGCAGGCATCTGGCAAGTCTTTGAGGAAATGAGTCACCAATCAGGAAAGATTTTTTTTTTCATTATTATTCCCACAAGTATAAATATATATAGTACGGAGTATGCAGTAAGAATGTGGGCTGGGGGTATGTGGTGTGACTGAAATTAGGTGATCAGACTATGTCTCTTTGAGAAGGTAACATTTAAGTATCATATAAATTATGGAGAAAAACAGAAGGAGTATTTCTAGATTCTGGGGAAGGTACACAATATTGTCTAATTAGCACTGGATTGTTCACTTTAGCTAACTGCATGCAAGTTCACTGATTTGAGCAAAACTACAACAAAAAGCATTATTCTTGGCTAATGAAAAATGACTTGTACCCACAAAATTTATAACATGGGACTTATGAAAACATGACTAATATAATATCCATCATTCTGCATGAGGATTAATCTTAAGGGGGCTGGAGAGATGGCTTAGAGGTTAAGAGCACTGGCTGCTCTTCCAGAGGACCCGGGTTCAATTCCCAGCACCCACATGGCTGTAACTCCAGTTCCCTGGGATCTGACATCTTCATGCCAATGCACATAAAAGAAAAGTTAAATAAATTATTTTAAAAAAGAAATAATCTTAAGCATATTTTTAAAAAGAGAAAAACAAACATGGGCAGGAAATATCATATGGAGAGATATAAGATTGTTCCACAAAATTCAAATATTTCAACTGACAGAATACACATAAACTAGACTCCCAGCTTTAGAAAGGATGTTAAACTGGATTAAAACCCACTGTAGTCCCTATGGTGTTCACAAAAGACACACTGAGGGTATTACAATACTGAATAACTGAAAAGCAAGGGATGTGAACATATGTATCAGTTGGACACGAAGCACAAAAACTCCAGTTAGAACGGTTATATTAATACTTGTCAGAGAAGACTATAAGACAAATAGTGCCATTAAGGACAGAGTTGCTCTACAATGATTAAACGTTAAAGTCACCAAGGCGATATAAAAATTCTAAGCATGAATGCACCTCATTGAATAAAGTCAACAGCTCTTTGACAGTTCTGCATGGACAAATGACAAACGTACCATGATCGTCGGAAATTACAAAACACTTCCTTCAATAACTAAACTTTCAAATAGCCAAAAAAAAAGTAGAAAAGTTGAGCAACATAATTAACTATTACAAAACACTTTCTTCAATAATTAAAGTTTCAAATAGCCAAAAAAAAAAAAGCAAAAAAAGTAGAAAAGTTGAGCAACATAATTAACTGTGTCCCGATAAATACTTAGAAATACTTGCCACATTTTCAAGAAGCCCACAAGGGTGATGAGTGAATTGTTTCCTTTCAGTTGTAATAAAAATGTAATAAACAAAAGCCACTCAGGGGAGAAGAGGTTTTTATTTTGACTTACAGTTCCAGAAGAGTAGATTTCATCACCACAGGGAAAACACAGCGGCGAGCAGGGAAGGCATGGCGGCGGTGTGGTGGCGGCAAAGCCAACCGGAAGCTGGCCAGTTTCAATTCTTGCTCATACAGAAAACAAAGGAAGAAGTGAGACAGCCTGTCACCTCTCACAGCCTGCCCCAGTGACACACTTCCTCCAATAAGTACATTTTTTCTTCCCAGTACATTCCACCTCCTAAAAGACCCAGAACCTTCCTGAACCACCAGGTGGTATATAATCAAACCACAACAGTTATGGGAATCATCTCTCACCTAAATTCTAGGAACTGAACTATGGAAAGGGAAAAGTGGGATCCAATTTTAAGCAGACTGAGATAATTTTTCTAGTACCTAATAAACTAAAAGAAATAGAGATTAAAAAGCATACACAATTAAAATAATAATAATAAATGCCATGTCACTTGAGCATCTGAGATTATGAAATAATATATGATCTGCTTGGCATTTCTTAAATGCTAAGGTTACTTACAATAGAGATTGGTGCCCTGACGCTTTCAAGCTAATGTTACATCATAGGCATTCTGTCATATCATTGTTCTTATCTTTTATCTAGGAATAGCTCTCCAGCTCCTATGTTTCTTTCTCCTTCAGCTAGAAATCAAAAGACCTCTTCTAAATATAAATTCATGTCAATAGGACACCTACAGACCAACACACCCAGAAAATCAGAATTCCTTTTAGGCTCAGTCTGGGTCAACCCTCTGAACAATATATTCTAATTCCTGCCACTGCCAAATGCATTTTCTTTTGTTAAGATCTCAGCTGTGGTGAAATAAAAGATACCTTCTATTCCTCAGTCAAGTGAAGGTTTAGAACCAGGCTTCCTGTGGCTTTATTCTTTTCTGGAATATAGTCAATACTAATCCTTCTTTCCAACCCCAGAAACCTACAACTCCCATTTCCTCTTAATTTGCTGATTAGCAAAAACAGTCCTAAAGCTTTTTCTAGAAAACTTCTGACAAGGCTTACCTCACTGGATTCTCTCTCCACAAGCAGCCTAAGTCGTCAGTTCAGGGATTAGTGTTATGTCCTGATAGTTTAAAGCTTCCGCCTCACAAAGCTTTGCACTGTTAGTGGTAGGACATGAAAGTCAAGTCTTGAGAGATGGAAAGTGGAAAGAACGGCTGACTCCTTTCACTTGGAAACTTGGCTAACCTGGGCTGTGCAGCTGAGTCCCGAGCACTGTTGATAGGGAGCATAATAATTATGACATTTTGAGGCTCCGTCCAACAAACACTTGCTTTCGGTTTCCTTTCTCCAACAAGCCTCAGCAGCGTTTCTCTGACTGCCTTAGGTCTCAGCCAGAGATATTTTAGATACAGGGAACTTCATGAGAGTCAAATCCTCTTCTTTCGTTCCTTGTATTGCTAGGCAGTTCACAGTGTAAGGGACAAAACCAGGCCAGTGCACACACGCCCTGTTACTACTGGTGGTTGGCTTTCTGTGAGTTCAACCCCAACCCAGGAAGGGTGGGTTCCACACAATCAGGTGTCTCAATAGAGACGCTGCTCTCACATCAACTTTTATTACCCAACACTGTTTTAGTGGCTGAAGCAGACATTACACTTGTAAACTGGCGTGCATTGTTTGAACTCCCTGAGAGGCTGGCTCTGGAAGTGGGGCTTTTCTCTGTCCCCTTTAGACCCCAGCATGCTTGTCTCAAAACATCCTTTTGGGTTTCTCATCTGAGAGTATCTAGTCTCGCCACCCAACTCAGTGACAGGGAGGACAAAACAGCCCAAGAATAAAAATATTGTGCTCTTAAAAACAACTAGGTCAAATATTTCCAACAGATTTTTTTTTATCCATGACATATAAGGGCCTACAGTATGGAAGAGAAGCCAGACATTCAACCACGGAGAGAAAGTTCGCTGCTTTAACTTCCTGAGTTGGTTTCTGCTGGATGTTGGAAGCATCCAGTTTGATGATGTTTTCTCTAACTGTTGCTATTTGTTCTTCTATTTGGAAACCTCACCCAAGGTCTGCTGTGGCCAGGACTCTCTCTATTGGAAACTTCAAATGACTGTCCCAAAGGGGCTTCCCTAGCCTATCTCTGCTTAGTGTCCTGACCTCCCATTTGAGGATGCTTTGCCCCTCACTATTGTCTTTTGTTTAATTTTGACTTGCTATGTACCTCATAAACTCACTCATTCAAAACTGAAAATGTTTTGTTTTTTTTTTTTAACAGACCTGAGGACCAAACCCAGGGCCTCGCGCTTGCTAGACAAGCGCTCTACCACTGAGCTAAATCCCTTATCACGGCTCATTCTCTGGACCACACAGTTGTCTTAGGTTATTGCTAATTATATTGTTTTCATTATTCTATTTTATCATTGGTGGTTGGTGGTAATCTCTTATTATACTAAGTTTATAAATTAAACTTCACCTCACTGGTTGTAGGAACAGGACAAAATATAATTATTTGTTGCGTGTGATATCAAACATTTACTGAGGGTCTTGGAATGTGTGATTATATAAAAGATTATTTAAGAGAAACGAAGGAATTCAAGTCCAAGCTGAGGAAGCACCCCAAGTGTAAGGAACTAGGTTGACAATGTCATCAGACAACAGGGTCGAGAAGACAGAAAATCATACCACACAAAGGGTTGAAGATGAAGGAGGGAAACTGAGGCTGCCAGACAAAAGCAAGAGCCTACATTAACAAAACTGCTGCAGCCTCAAGACCGGCAGTAGAAGGTCCGGCAAAGCCAAGAAACTGACCAATTCTGCCTTAAGAGACCTACACTTCTAGATCGTCCATAGTCACAAACAGTAGTAAGACTGAAATTATGTCTCTGGACGCTACCAGGAGAAAATACTAAAAAATGGGGCTGGGGGTGTCTTCACCGGTGTTCTATTGCTGTAAGAGACACCATGACCATGACAACTTATACAGAAGAACGCATTTAATTGGAGCTGGTTTACAGTTTCAGGGGTTTAGTCCATTATCACCATGGCTGAGAGCATGATGGCATGCAGGCAGACATGGTGCTGGAGAAGTAGCTGAAAGTTCTGTATCCAGATTTGCAAGGAACAGGAAGAGAGCCACTGGGACTGGATTGTGCTTTTGAAAACCTCAAACCTCACCCCCCAGTGACATACTTCCTCCAACAAGCCCTCCTAATCCTTCTCAAGTAGTGCCACTCCCCGATGACTGAGCATTTGAATATATGAGCCTATAGGGGCCATTCTTATTCTTTCCCCCACAGGGTGTCCAGAATACATCTTTTAAAAGTTGCAGAAGAAAGATAGATGAACAAAACAAATGGAAAACTGGATTTTACTATTGCTTTTTTCTGACCTTAATGAGAGTTGCTTCTCAGAGGAATGGGAACAATGAATGAGTGCCAGGGAAATGGTCCTGGCTTATGGAGACTGTAGGTAACAGAAATCTAGCTGTCAGGGGAGGAATAGAGGAGGCCAGCACATATTGGGGGCTGGGTGGGTAGTGAAAAAAAGTTAGTTTTTATACTGTGGTGGCAGGTATGTGCGAGACAGTGTGTGTGTGTGTGTGTGTGTGTGTGTGTGTGTGTGTGTGTGTGTGTGTGTGTGTGTATGTATACATCTTAGACAGACAGTATGTGTACTAATATGAAGGCTGAAAGTCAACAACAACAAAAAAAAAAGCAAAACTAAAGCCCAGAGATCAGAACAGGGTCTCAGAGGCATTAAGAAGAGATAGAAGTAAGGACAGAGCAAGGATGAAAATCACCTTAGGGAAAAGGAGAAATCCATTCACCTCCTAAGACAGAAGATGTAGGAGTAGAGGAAAAATAATACCACACCAAGTTCAACAAACATATTTATTATAGATGCCTGTCTCTGCAATTGAGAAGTGACTTTATCCGATAAGGAACATTTTCTCTAGGTGGGCAACAAGTCAAGTAAAGAGTGAGTATTGATCCTTCTCTAAATCAATGGGTGGTTCTTGGCACAATGAAGGTGGCGGAAGGTCAGAAGCACCATTCAGACTCAGAAGAGGGGAAAGCCAGCAAATTGAAACCATGTTCACCTCGCTGGGCTTCTGGATTAGGATGGCAATTGAACACAGGTTTGAGTTTTATAGACACACTGTCCTGTACCCTACTCAATATCTTCATTTTCTTTCCAATGTTTTATTTTTCTATGAAAAACTTTAAGCTTAAATGTGAAATAACAAAATAGTGGACATTCATATACCTACCACATAGGAAACAAAAAGAAATGTTAATGCTTTCCTTATTTGCAAATATTATGTACATGCTTAGGTCTCTGTATAAATTTATTGCTATATGATAGAAATTGGGTTAGATGTCATAATATCTAGCAATAATCTGTCAGCATATTTCTTCAACTAAGAATAATTTCTGATACTGATTTAGTACCTTATCACATCCAGAAATATTAAAACAATAAAAAACAACCTCAGATCACCCAAAAGAGAGGACATACTCTCGTTTCCCAGGTTGAGCATCAAGTGCTTTTGTGGTTCACTTTTTAACTACAGTTCAATCAAGGCTCATAGAGTGCATCTATTTTTATTTATTTAGGTGTGTATATGTGCACACGTGTAATTCAAGAAATCCACAAAGTCTATTTAATGAGCAAAGGAATTTATTTGGGGGTTAACTCAGTACCATGGGAGATTTATCGTAAGGTCCAGAAAAGCTGAGCTATACGTCCCACACTGATTTGCCTGCTCCAAGATCTCAGCATCCAATACCACAAGGAGGCAAAGAGAGAGCTGTTTGCATGCATCCCAGGACTTAAGGGATCCTGAATGGCCACACCCTAGGGGCATGTACTTCAAGGTCACGGGCAGGTGTAACAGTTACCTATTACCTCACTAGGGGTGGTGCTTCAAGGTCATAGCTAAAACAACTACCCACTACTCATGTGTTTGTGTATATAAACATATGCGCGCACGCACACGTGTGCGTGTGTGTGTGTGTGTGTGTGTGTGTGTGTGTGTGTATGTGTGTAGAAGCCAAAGATAAGTGATGAGCATCTCTGTTAGTTATTCTCCATCTTATTCTTTGAAGCAGCAATTCAACTCTCATTGAATCTGGAGTTCACTGGTTCGGCCCGACTAGTTAGCCAGAGAGATTCTGGGATCTACTTACCTCAGAACAATGCTCAAGGGCTAGGGCTATAGACATGTGCTGCCATGCACAGCATTTTATGTGTGTGCTGGAGATCTGAGTACAGTTCCTTATGCTTGTACAGCTAGCACTGAGCCATCTCCCCAACCTCGACATGCAATGCAGTTTTGCATCCTTTGTTAATTTTAAACTAGAACAGTACAAACCACATACTGCTTTTTCAGCTCCACAACAGGGCATTGTAAACTCTTGAGCAGCAACCTTATAAAATTAGAACATTCCCCATTTGCTTTCCTGTACCTCATACTCATATATTCATGTAATGGTCTGGATTAAACACAGATGAAACATTTCAAATAAAGTATTCTCAAGGCATGTATCAGAGGATTGGATTGTACTCTATAAAAATTTACAAATAGTGTATCAATTAAAAATCTCAAAGGAATAAAAACAAACAATGAATTAGTCATTTGAGCTATCCATCATTATTCTGTTTTGTTTTCTTTCCTTTTGAGTGTCTGATGGCTGTATTAGTCAGCTTTTGCTTGCTTTTGTAACAGTCCCAACCAAACCTTATTGTCTTTGAACAGCAAACATTCCTTGCTCACAGGTTTGTGATTTTGCTGCCTCTGCTGGGCTTTGGGTGAGGCATCTTCTATTTCCCCAGTCAGAACTCTGAATACAGAAGGAACAGCTTTTAAAGGTTTTGCCTTTCCTTTACTGGTGATAGGAGAGCAAAAGGAAAAGTGAATGCCTGAGATGCCTCAACTTGGGGCCGGCAATCTTCACTTCCATCCATTCTGCGCCAGACAAAAGAAATCACGGAACTGGTAGAGGGAGGAAGCAGACCGTGCCCTTGGGGAAGAGCAGAGGAGAAAATTGTGTCTTAAATTTGGGCATGGCCATATAACTCGTGTGGGCCCATGAAACACAAACCATTATATGAATGTTCACTAGTCCTTCCCTTTCCAGTGCCAGAGGGAGCAGCAGCATTCTACATTCATCTCTGTCACTTTGCATCCCTAAATGAAGATGTACCAACCTGCCAGAGGCACAGAGTGCAAGAAAGAAATAAATGCTCAAGCTTTCAGCCTCTACAGTGTTGAGGCTGTTACTGCAACATAGCCAATCCAGCAACAAACAAGGAAGATGTTATTGTTTCCATTGGAT